CAGTTACTGATTCACTGCTCCATCAAAACGCCGATATCTGTTGCGCTTGGCGTGCCCCCCAGTTCACACGGCGCTCTGCAAATCTAGACCACTTCGCAGTTGATCCAACCAGTGATCGTAACCAGGATACCACTTATGGCAAGCCCCGCACGCCAACACAAGCTTCTGACCCTAAAGCATCACCTCGGGGTCTTCGCTGCTTGGAGCTGCAGCTAAACGCAACAGCAATAAGACGAAGAACAATAACAGGAATAGTGCAACATGAAGCTCTTAAGGAAGATGAAGGATGCTATCGTAATTGTCTTTGCCGGACGGATGGTTCAAGAATTAAGGTTTCGCACTTTTCTCATCTTTACACAATCGAAGTGCAGCGGGTATGTGGGCATTTAATGTGCAAGGTTGCAGCTGAGGCCCCTGAACTCATAAATCCTTTCCAAAGCGAAAGAAAACCACACTTTCGCATCGTAACTGCCGCAACATAGAGAAGGAAATTCGCAGCTGCCAATGAGGAGAACTCAACCCACTCCAACAGATGAGCCAACAGTGAATGGGTCGGAATAATTAGCAATGGTTCCCTTAGGGCTCCTTTTTTTAACCTTGTATATGATATCCCAAGACTTTGTCCTCATTGAGGCCTCGATATTAGATGAACCTAGATGCCCAAGGCCGCAGTAAGGAAGAGCTTGTCGGTGTAAGACTGTTATTTGTAGGACTTCACAATGCCGAAAGCTCCGTCTCTTAAGTGCTACGCTTGGCGGCGCACAGCAGTTAAAGAAGTCCTCGATCTGAGGTTTGCATTCGGAGGCCCTTTGCGTTTTTGCAAGCTTTCGCTACAAGTTCAGTGCACCCTAAACCCTAATTCGTGGGTTCGAGGGTATTCAGGATTTAGGATCTAAGGTTAATTGGCCAGGAAACCCAACCTCAGCTGCCAGCCGTGCATTTGATGTCTTTCTAAGGGTATTGGTGCTGGAGGCCTAAGGGTTTGAGGGTTTAGGGGTGAAGGGTTGAGGGTCCCAGGGTTTAGGGCTCAAGGGCTTTAAGGGTTTAGGGTCATTTTCCGGAGGTTCATTTGCTGCCTGCTGACCCACCGAGCCTCCTCTGGGAGCATTTCATCATGGGCACTGAGCTCGGCTTGCCGTGACGCAATGGGTTTCTTGAAGGTTCATGTGTGCTTATGCACTTTTAACCTGGATACACTCTAAACCCGAATGTCAGCAGCCTATATAACTCGTGTTAATCTCCATCCATTGCATAGAATTCCACGTTTTCAGGGGCTATGTTGGCTGAGCATCACACTCAATTGAGGGAGTGCTGCAACAACCACCTTGCTGGTCCCAACCCTGACTGGGAATTTCCCACCACCGAAACCCCAAACCCTGTACAACTGGACAGCGAAGACTTCTGGCTTTAGGAGAAGGTTGTTTGAAATATAAGTAGTTCTGCGCGCAACTACGGTATGAAAGGTTACGCAGCATAGAGTAGTTTCTTGTTTGTGACTGCACATGACCCTGTGTCAGGCCCCGTGTTCTTGCTGTAAGTATCCACGGCCTCAGGCGCGATCCACTAAGATATGAGGTAGCACCCGAATCTCGGTTGTCACCAGCAGAACAATACAAGTAGAACATGGGCCTGAACAACAGGTAACATTCTTGTTATTGATTCCCCAGTTTCAGCAGATGTTCTGGATATCGTCACCCCAAGCCCTCTTCTTGTCTTGCAAGCTTTTATATAGCTCAGAACAATCAGGGCCGCCGACCCTAAATGAAAAGTAGTATCCTTCTTACAGGTACCCCAGAAAAGACAAGAGAGAACCCACAAAAAGTCAAAACTTGCACCGAATCCAAGCCCCGAAAGCCCTGAACCCTAACCCCCTTAACCCCAAGGCCCTTCAACCCGAAACCCCAAAAACCCCTAAACTGTCACCCTAAGGCTCTGAAAATTACCCATGTTTTAAGAGATTTGGGCCCGAAGACTATACTATGTAAGGCTTTTGGGCCCTGTTGAGCCTTAGATACGACCCTAAGCACTTGAGGCTTGAAAACCCTAAACCCAAAAACCTGAACCCTCAACCCTCCAAACCCTAGACCCTAAGCGCCTGAGGCTTGAAGACTCTAAACCCTAAACCCTAAATCTTACACCCTAGACCCCAAACCCTAAGCACCTGAGGCTTGAAGACCCGGGAGCAGGTCTGTTGCTTCTTCTGCCTAAGTCCAAGGCCCGGTTGGCGCAGCAAATCTATGTTAGTCTTTAGGGTTTAGGGCTTAGGGTTTAGGGCTTGAGGCTTCAGGGTTGTAGGGCTTAGGTTTAAGGGTTTAGGGTTTGCGTCTTTAGGGTTTAGGGTTTGGGTCTTTAGTGTTTAGGGTTTGGGGCTTGCAGTTGCTGTAAAATCGCAAAGTTGCGTGTTCCATTGCTATTTGGTATGATATTTGTTGATTCTTTGTGTAGAAATTCTTTCTGGCCCCGTAAGATAACTCAATTGTCCTGTGTGTTACTCAGAGATTGAGGGGGTCATAGTTCTGAGTAAACTGACAACAGGCCAGGCGAGTGATGCTGCCTACGATTGTCCATGAGCCGCCAAGCCCCAAACCCTACTGAAGACTCGCCATGAAGCTGCGGAAACCCTCGAACTCTTTAGTAGCTGAATAGGTAGCCTTTAACCTTTATGGGGCTAATACTGTCCTGCCATAGTTGAAAAGTTTACCCCTTTTTTGGCTAAGGTACTCGGCCCCTAAGGCTCTTAGACCCTGACCCCTCGGCCCTAAACCCCCCTGCAACTTGTAACCCCAAACCACAGAGTATGGGCGCCGGACGCTTCAGAAGCAAGTTCGAAAGGGATCCGAAGCAAAAGACCTAAAATAGTTATATTTCGATAAATCTTTCTGGGACCCCTGCAGACAATTCAGAGAATAATGGAGCCTTGAAGCCCCAAAGCTTGAAAACTAAAGCACAAAACCCTGCCTAAACCAAGGCGTTTAACCGAACCCCGAGCTCTTAACCCTTGCACCCTAAATGCTAAGCCCCTAAACCCCCAAACCTTAAACTCCTAAACCCTAAACTCCTAAACCCTAAACCCCTAAACCCCTACACCCTAAACCCCTGAACCCTAAACCCAAAATGCAAACTCCAAGCCTGAGCCCAGATTTGACAAAATCCCCAGCATCCGCCAGGGACCTCAGCCTCATCAAAGCAAACTTGAAGATTTTGCGGGGGACCCGGGGGTGCCTCGGGGCTTTAGAGCCGGTCGTGGGGTTTGGGGTCTGGGGGTTTAGGATTCAGGATTTAGGGTTTTGGATGTGGTTGCAGGATTTAGGGTAGAGAGCTTGGGGGGTTTAGGGGGGTTTAGGGTTCAATGATTTAGAGTCGAGGGTTTGGGATGGGGCTGTGGGATTTAGGGTTTGGGGTGTTGGGGGGTGTTGGGGGTTTCGGGTTCAGGGCTGCAGCGTTTTGCCATGCGAGAGGCTTTTGGCGGTATGGGAAGCTTTGTGCGGTTGGGGCGTATTGAGATCTAGTAATCTCGTAGATGGATTGGGCGGCCTTGGGGAGTCAGGTGAGGCTGTTTGGGTGCAAGGAGGCTATTGCCAGAAAAAGGGCACCCTGAACCCTAAGGTTTTTGTGAGCCAGAAGAGCGTCAGAAGTTGAACACAGCCAGGCCTAGAACCTTTGACTAGCCAGAATCCGACTAAGACCCTTCTCCATCCTTGACCCTAGACCCGATCCCCAATCGAAACGCTAGCTAGGTATGCGTCCGGGAGGGGGCAGAAAGATGACGGAGGGGTTGCGCAGAATCCGATGTACTGGTAATTTCGATCCTCTGCATCAGCAGCCGAAATTTCTTGAAGCAGGTAGTGCATGATTGAGATGAATATTTCAAGGCAAGAGAGTTGGAGGAATGAGGACCCTGCCTGATCCGAATCTCTTCTGAGGCTTTGCTGCTCTTCGCGTGGATCCCGGAATTCTCTCGCTCACGACGCTGCCCAGGGTTTGGGCGTTCAGGGTTTTGGGGCTTAGGGTTTAGGACATACGATATACGGTGCCAAAAGCAACACGGCACCTCGCCGAAACACACTCCTTTCAGTTTGGTGTCTAGGAGTATTGTTTTCCCACGCTAGGGGGAGTTTGCTGGAAGAACAGCCTATTAAAAGCATGGGGGCCCTTACTGTAATGTTGACACTGGGAAGCGAATTTCTGGAAGTGCATTTCTGCGCAATCAACGCAGAATGGCTGCATGTACTAACTCAGGCATCTTTGGCCCCAGGCAAACGGCCAAACCGACAAATACCCCTCTCAAGCCCAAAACTCCCGAAACTTGCCCAAAACCCTAGACCCTAAACCCTCAACCCTTCAACCCCAAAGAACACCCCCAACCCTCAAAAACCTTCGGAACATTTCAAAAAGTATGAAGCCAAAGCAGCCCGAAACCCCCCCACAAACTCGAAACCCAACACTGTCGATATCGTTACTTCTTTAAGAGAGCCTCATCAAAGATAGCATATTATTCACCTAAAGCCTTAAACCCCCCAAATCTGAACCCCAAGAACTCCAAACGCTGCACCCTAAACTCGAAACCCCCTAGACCCTCTAAACCCTACAAACCACGAAACCAAGAAGCCCATGTTAAACCCCCGAATATCCAGGTTGACTCTCGGCCCTCCCTGCTATTTGAGACCTCAGGGCTTTTCAGGATTTCGGGTTTCGGATATAGGGTTGCTTAAAGTTTCGGATTTGAATGTAAAGGCTTAGTGGATATAGGGCTTAAGGTTTAGGACTGCAATGTAAGGCTTAGTGGGTTTTGGGGCTTAAGGTTTCGGATTTCAGGGTACCAGGCGTTTCCGATTTCGCAAACTTGCAGTGTTCTTTCGGAGGAGCGTGAGGATTTGGGGGTTTAGGGTTTAAGACTTGAAGCTCATGTTGAGTGTTCATGCGGTTTTATAGATATTAGGGGTGTTGGCTTGAGGTGGCTATGAAGTTCAGTTTCGTGTGCCTTGGGGATCTATTACACTATGTATGGCTCTTTTACACAGGGTTCTCTTGTGAGCGGTACTTCCTGCTGCAAGTCTCTTCATTTCTCAATCGTTTACGACCCTCAGCCTCAAATCCTTAACCCGAAGCCAAGACTCAGTTCCTTGATTTCCCGGTGCCTGCGGGCTTTACAGCGTTCGATGTTCACTGCGGGTTCTTCGCCAGGTTACTACATGCTCTATGCCCGCGTCTACCGTCTGGCTCCCTGTACTCCTCTGGGCTGAGCAGGATGAATGCTGAAATCTAAACCCTAAACCCTAAACGCCTAAACCCTAAACCCAAATCCGAAGTGTACGGTTTGAGCCGGAGACCCTTGCCCTTTGGCGCCTTAGGGTATACCGTAAAGAATACGGGGCTTGAAGAGGGAGGTGTTTATCCAGGAGTATCCAGGGCTCGAAAATTCGAGACGGCCTCCGGCTTACCGGTGAGATTCTCGGACTTAAGACTGTTGGGTGTCGAGAACTGTTCGGACACGATCCAATCTCTAAACCGCGAATTGAAAGGCACTCTATAAGAGTTGCTACACTCCTTCCTTGTGGGGTCTTGGGGCCGGAGTGTCTTCAAATCCTAAACCTTGGACTAGAAAAGCCTTAAACCCTATACTAAACTTGATCAAATCCTAAACCTTGAACCAGAAAAGCCTTAAACCCTATACTAAACTTGAAGTTCATAAAGACAACCAGAGGTGCCCAGCAGCGTGCACTCGAGGAAGGCTCGTTTTAGCCATGTCCCGAAGCGCTCGGTGGTTTCAGCTTTGAGGGGTTTTGGCTTCAGTTCTTTTGGGTTTTGGGCTTTTGGGTGTAGTTCTGTTGGGTTTAGGGCGTTTGGGTGTAGTTCTGTTGGGTTTAGGGCGTTTGGGTTTAGGGCTTTTGGGTTTCGAGCTTTTGGGTTCAGGGCTTTTGGGGTTTAGTTCTTTTGGGTTGAGGGCTTTTGGGTTTAGGGTTCGAGTCTCTTGGGGTTTGGTTTAGGGTGGGGGAGCCCCGAGTGAGTGAAGGCAGGCCCTGAACCTCAGCCGGTAAGCCTCGGATCCGCGAGCCCGAGCATGAAAATCTGGAGCAGTTGAGAAGTCATGGGACCCTTGATCTGGAGGCTAAAGACATCCTTCCTAGAGACTCTTTAGCTTAGGCTTAGAACCCTAAACTGCAGTGCCTTCACCCGCAAGAACCACCCAGAAAGGGACACCCAATCTTCGAAGGCTGATTGCTGACGAATGCCATGAAGCAAGCCTACCCAAGTACAGTCGAGCCCCAATTCGTATTTCTTCAACTCCTAAGCACCCGAGAATAAGAATCTCGAACTCTAACCCGAACCCCGAAGTTCTACACCCGAAAATCCTAAACCCTAAACCCCCAAAGCAAAACCTAAAATCTTCAACGCTCGAGATTTCATGATGACTACGCTGGTCGGGACCTCAAGCACCGCAGAGTCGGAGCTAATCAGTCGTAAAGTAAAGGTGCTTTGAGCTTCACTATGACAGGAATGGGGGCTCGAAAGCTTCTCAGCCACGCACCTCTCTTGAGCCCAACATGAGATCCTTACTTCTCCAGCTCTACGTAATCGAACCAAAGCAACCGGGAGCTAAAATCCTAAAGGACGAACGCGAAAACCTGAAATCACAGAGTAGATAGTCCAAGCCCTGCTTAGCTCCTGCGCAATTTGAATTCAAGGCCCAGGATCCCCCAAATACGCTGAAACCCCAAATGGGTAGTTCTCCAAAATAGGGTCCTTTTTTAGGTCCCCAGTATAGAACGGCACCCTTATACAAAGGACCCTAAAAGGGACCCCAATTTAGAGAACTACCCAAATACGTTGAAACCCTACAAGGCCTTAGCACCACATCGCGAAAGCTACCTCTGTCTCTGGCCTGGCTAAGGTGACGATCTCGGCTTCCTTGGGAAACCTTCTGATCAATCAGACGCGCAGCTAAGTCTTGGGGCTTGAGGAGCTGTAGATGGGACTTTAAGTGTTGAGGGTTTAGGGATATCAGGGGTGTACTGTAGGGGCTCGTGGCTTTGAGGGTTCTAGGGTTTGGGCGGATTTAGGGGGTTTCGGAGTTCGAAGAGTTGTGAGTTTGGGGTTTAGGTAGGGTTCCCTGTCATGGACAGCTCAAACCGCGGGAGATTCTCACTCGGACCACCCTCGGTAGCCTAACAACAGCAAGCCCGGTTTGCGTTTCGGGTTCGGGTTCATGCTGAGAACAGGGGCAATGTATAGAAAGAAGCCGTCAGTGCTAGTCTACCACATAAGCTTTTCTGCTAGAGTGACGTAGAAACTATCGGGAGTATCTGTACCAAATCGTGCTTGAGGTCTCTTGCTGCTTCGAACACAGCTTGGGCTTCGGAATGTTACTCCCGGTGCCCGGATGTCTGGGGTGTGTAGGGCCAGGCCTCGGAAGGCATCCCATCGTGTTGACAAAAGAGTGTAAATTCCCATAAACCCTAAGAAAAAGAGCCCAGGATCGTCTGGTCCTGCGCCATGGATGTTGGCTACAGACTGAAGGCTCGAAATCACGTCAGGGATTGGCTTGGATGTAGCTTACAGGATTTTGGGGCTCCGGCGGTGTTTTGTTCGTGGCTGTCTTCTGTGCTTTGGTCTTTGGGAATCTATGTCTGCTGGTGCTCTCGGTTCTCGAAGAATTTGGGGGCTTGGTATCATTTGTCTTATCAGACGCGGGTGTTTGGCAGATGTGCCATCGCCTTTGTCAGGGGTGCTGCGAGTATTTGTCGAAAGTAGTTTCTTGCTTGCAGGTTGTGGCGAGACTTATACAAATAGATTAAACCCCTAACCCCTAAACCCCTAATCCCTAAAATGAATACCTCTCTCTCTCTGGCTCTTTCTCTTTTCTCCTGTCATGGGCAGCTGCATCCACCAGCTGCAAAAGAGAGTGCAACCGGACTCCTGCGGAGCCGAAATCCTGAGTCCCAAGCCCTGGGCACCAGACACCTCCTCTCATGCTGAGCTAGGGTTTAGGTTTGGGCTTTAGGGTTTAGAGCGCAAAATCGACGAAAGGTCTGGCAACCGGATTCAGGGTTTGGAATGAGGGTTGCAAAATTCCTAAACCCTATAACCCCTAAACCTTAAACCTTAAACCCCTACACCCCTAAACCTTAAACCATAGCTTTTGGGATTCAGGATCTTAGGGTTCCAGGTTCTTAGGGCCAAAAACTGCAAAATCCGAGAGACCCCATCAGCGAAAACCAAGCCTCAAACCATGACCCGCAACTCTGCGACATGGAAGTTGGGCTGGAGGTTCGGGTTTCGACGGTTTAGAGTGTAGAGTTTAGGGTTTTTAGGGTTTTTAGGCTTTCGGGTTTCTGGGGTTTGAGTATCTTTGGTGTCTGCATGCCGATCCTTCGACCCTCTCAGGAACTCAAACCTTGAAGCTTTTGCAAAAGATTCGACGCGGTTAAGGGTTAAGGCTTTAATGTCTGTCTGTCGCCTGACTTCCTTGAGGCCGACAGAGATGCATATGTCTTTCGATGGTACACGGCCGAGCTCGCCTGCGTTGATTTGGATTTGCACGTCTCATCTGCGACGTTGAAAGCCCATAAGGACCTTGACTAAGCCCGCGGTTTGGATTTAGTGCTTCTGACTTTGGGGATAAGGGTTTGGGTAGACCTAGAGGCCTTTGTCCGCGGATCAAGAGTCCAAAGCCTGGGTATTTCCAAGCACCATGTTTCAAGCTTCTGCAAGGAAAGGAAACCCCGAAGCCTGGGGCCCGCACGTCGAGCCGGGGGTTTTGGCAACCCTTGCCATGAAGCAATGCACCATGATTCACTCTCACCCGCTTGACAATCAAACTGAAAGCTGTAGTGCTCGATTTCAAAGGTCCCATAAAGGGGCGAGATCAGGCCAGCCATGCGATCTCAGCACAGATTATGTAGGTACCGACTTTGTCTTTGAGAACCTCAATCCTCGAGTTTCGGGAATCCAGAAGTCGCAGCACTCCCTGCCGCCAGCTCATCACCTTGATCAACACTCTCTTCAATTTTGGGGCAGGGTGCTGAGCATCCTCGCGCTTCAATTGGGGCTTCCTTTAAGGGTCTATTATAGGGCTTTGGGTTGAGGTTTTTGGGTTTAGGGTTTAGGATTTATAGGGTTTAGGATTTATAGGGTTTAGGGCTTATTGGGTTTATAGGGTTCCGGGATTTTGGAGATTTTGTGTGTTGCAGTTCGGGTTTGTGGGGTCAGGCTTCCTGTGCCCAACGGATCTCGGGAGTTTGAGGAGAAATGGCTTTGAGCACTCTCCAAGATACAACTCCAGGAAAATCCTGCTTCGCAAGCCCCTCTAGTAGTAACATTTCCTGATAATTAGCCCTTACATGTCGCTACATTTTAACTCCAACATTCCCCAAAACCTGTGCGAATTCTTAAGGGGCCCCTGCATCAAGTTTCCGGCCACCCAAAGCTTGTCCCTCTAGAAGTTCCCTCCTTAAACCCAACGATGGAACCCTGAACCGCCGAAGCCCTGCGGTCGCGGTAGCAGGAGCAGGAGCAGCAGAGCCACCGTTCAAACCCATGGTCCCCAAGCCTACATATCTTAAACCTGAACCCCAAATCCCGATCCCTAATCCCAGTCCCTAAACCCTAAACCCACATAACTGCGGCTCGACTGAGGTCATCACGGCCACATTCAGCAAGAAGCCGGCTCGCACCCGAGCATTTTTAGTGGTATACTGAGGGCTCACAGCTTAGGGCTAAAGGGGGTTTAGGGCTTTGAGGTTTAGGGTGTAAGGTTTTAAGGTTTTAGGGTTTTAGGTTTAGGAGTACGTAAAGGTTTCAGAAACCACCCTCAAATTTTAGGTCGTCTGATTTTGTGCATCTGGGATTTCAAGGCTTCATTGGCATGTCTGGGCTAAACCCTAAGCCATACGCGCTAAGCAAAGCAAGAAACCCCTACGCCCCAAAGAAGAATCCTTAAACCCTAAACTTGGCCCTAAACCCTAAACTTGGCACTTTTTCCTAAACTTGGCCCAAAACCCTCGACCCTAAACCGAAGAGCTCGGACCTGGGAGCCGAAGAAAGACGCAAGCCCGAAACTCGGAACCCCACAAGGCCAAAGCCTGGACCGCACGCCTTTGTCAACCTTGTACCCAAACCTCTACAAGCCCGAAGAACTAAGCCTCATAACCCCAAACCCGAAGCAATCCTAGACCCTCAACCCTGAACCCCCAAAACAAAGCATTCTAAACCCAGAAATTAAAACACCCGCAGCTCGAGACAGGACGACGCCTTGCAGCGAGTGCTCTACGAGGCAGCACTGGGAAACCAGATGCTCGTGTCCGGGCCCTGAGGCTTCTAGGTATTTAGCTTTGCTCTTGGGGTTTAGGAGTTTAGGATTTGGGGGTTTGGAGTTTTAGGGCGTTAGGGTCTAAAGTTCTGCATTGGGCATAGGATTTCACATTTCGGGTTGGGGCTTTGGGTTTGGGGCCAAGGGTTGGGGTTAGGGGTATGGAAATGGCGCAGATGAAATTTTTTGCGACACGAGACACGCTTAACGCTGTAAAATTGCAAACGCCCACACAAGCCCAAGGTGCGCAATGAAACGGAAATGAGAGCCGGTAGTCGGCCCCGTCTTTGGGTGTACGCTGTATGTAGCACATTAATAATAATTTGGTTACGGACAAGAATCAAGTAAGGGAGAATGTTGCTAATTACATATTCGGACCTCAAACTCTTGCATTACGATTTCGATTCATTAGCGGCCCAAACCATCATCATCGGAGTCATTCCCTCGTGACGAAGTTCGAAGTTCGAGCATTCCGAACTATGCTCCAGCATTTAGGAACTAGGGATGGGGTTTAGGGCTTAGGGCTTGGCACCTGGGGCTTAGAGTTTAAGGCTAGGGGTTGAGGGACTACTCGTCAGAGGTTAGGGTCTTAGTCTAAACCCTGTGGCCTTGAGCTCGGAGCCTACCTTTAGAGCGCTTTGTTTTAACGTTTGGGGTCACCTGATCGTGTGATATGCCCCTTTCGAAAAAACACTTGTAGCACATTAAGAACCCCTGACAAAAAGAAGAAATATGAAAAATGGTTGACAGCCAAAAATACTTCTGATGATAGCAAATGATCGTAACAGAAGACCCCCTCTCGGTCACATGCAAAGGTTCGTCCGCGGCTCCTTGGTGAGCTATGCAATTTTTCCCGCCCGCAGCCAAGCAACCGATCAAGCTCTCGAAGGGTTTACAGATAAGGGTGCGAGGGGCTATAGGGGCTTTTAAGAGTGTTTATCCGGGGTTCTATTATTTCAAAAGCTGGGTTCTTCGAGACATGTGGTTGGTGCAGCCTTGCACGGATTTGGTGTTGTTCTTGGGTACACCCCGAAAGAAATTCTGCAATCTCTCCCCAGACCTTTTCTATGTCCTTCCAGGCTGCTGGGGCTTTAGGAACTTCTCATGGAAGTCGTTCCGGGGGTGGTTGGAGCTGCAAGGCCCAGGTGTCCGACACTCAAATTCAAAACTCCTGAGCCCTATCGGCCCTCTAAACCCTAGCACCCCAAAGCTCTCCAAAGTTCAACCCTCCCCACCTGAAAACGCGTAGAGCCTTTAGACAGAGCCTTCAGCCTTTTCCCAGCCCTGAAACCCAGGTGTTCTATGGATTGCTTTGGTTGAAGGGCCGCGTGATGCTGCTCTGGGAGTATCTGCCCCCTCGGCTGGTTTCTGTTGTGTTTTGACGGGGGGGGCTGGTGTCAACATAGGCATCGGAATGGGTGTTGGACTTATGGTTTTAGAGCATAAGATTTTGGGTTTAGGCTCTGGGGTGCAAGGAGTGTTTCCATTACTGGTTCTCTCCACTTCTCAGCTGCAGTGTTCGTGAAGTCTTTAGGAAGTTTGTTTCGGGTAGTTGAAGCGGCTCGTGCATAGGGTGTGAGAAGGCCCTCACTCGGTAATGCCCTGGCCTTGGAAGGTTCAGAGCTACGGTTTTGGGGTTCAGGAGTCTCGGGTTTAGGGCTTAGGTCTCTTTGGGGGCCCTATTTGGGTTCAGGGTTTCGGAGTTCAGGATTCTGAGTTTAGGGTTTTTAGAGTTTAGTTTAGGGTCGGCAGGCTTGTAAACCTAAGCCCGCGGGCAACCTCGCGATCCTCGGCCCTGAGATGCCATGAAGAGACGTTCTGACGCTATAATCTTAACCTTAGGGGAAGTTGGAAACACTTTATAATGTTTGGTTGCTATCATCCCTAAGCAACAGCTACAGTTATGACTTTTTTGCAAGTGCACCAAGTTCAGTATGGAAACCCCAAACTCTAACACCCTAAACCCCCAAGCCCCCAAAGCCCTCGAAAGCATGTTGAACCAGTTTGGTTTGATTGGTAGACACCTTGGAGACCCCGTTTTAAGCTCAAACACGAAACCGAACAGCCCTACAACGCTTTCCCAACTCTCCACATGCAAGCAAAGGCTCAAAAACCAGGCACCAGCAGTGATTTCTTCAACTTTGGGGGGGTGGGGGGGGCATGGTTTATGTGTCCTCGTATTTATGAGGGCTCTATTGGTTGAAGTTTATATCCGCCTCCCTTGTTTTGAAGCGTCCAAGATCATGGAAGGAGTTCTACCAGCAGAGAATGGGCAAAGCTACGATTCAAAGCTGAGCAGGCAAAGTCCAGGGTTTAGGGTCTTTGGGTTTGGGGTGTAGTTTAGGGTGCAGGGACTTGGGGGGTCCGTTTCTTTTGCTTTACGGTTTGGGGTCTGTGCTGCAGGTGCACTTCTTCTGTCCTTTGATACCAATCCTCCGTTGATGTCGCTCAATTGCTTCTGTGCGGTTGCAATGTAGACTTCTGCTTGGAGTACTATTGGGATCGTTCCTGATGGTTATGCTCATGACGGGAAAGCTCGGCTATGCATCAGTGGTCTCATGCTTTGTGCGACCTTTCAGTCTACGTACCTCCGGCTTCCACATCGTGGTCGTTCAGGGTCTCCCACCTGTTCACGTGTTCCGCGGATCGATCGAGTCTCGTCCATAGTAGCAGCATACCATAAACTTTCCATAAATCGTAAACGTCGTAAACCTTTATCTTAATTAAGCCCTGAGCACGAAGCCTTAAACTCGACACCTCCAAGATGCACAGGAACGACAAATAACTCTGAAGGCCTACCCTGAACAACAAGCGGTTCACACCCTCAATGGCTGGATACTGTAAGAGGGCCAGACGGGCAATACAATGTCTATAAGGCCTTTATTAAAGTCGACTCCGGGGTGCCTTTTCCTAAACCCCAAACCCTTTCATAGGCGCAGCTCTTACGATTCTTTACGATTACGGACACAAAGCATGACAGCCAAGCTCTGCAGGCTTTCGAACCGCCAGAGTGGTGGCTGCAATACGACTACGCCGCCATCGCGGGCAGCTTAGAAGTCTTCGGCGTTTCAAAACTTCGATTTTCAGGGGGTTGAAAATGTCGGCTCAGGTGACTCAGGGGTCAAGGGTTCAGGGTTTAGGATCTGGCTCAGGCTTCGAGATAAGGGGGCAGTTCGGCACGCTCCAAGTTCGGGCACCCTCACAGTGTCATGTTTCGCCACGCTAGACAGTGCAAACTTAACACTACCCACATCCGACAGTCTTGAGACACCTCTTTCGGGGTTCTTCCGGTATACATATTTTTCTTATGTGATATAGGGACTAGCAGAGAAGACCAACCCTAAACCCTAAACCCTAAATTGTACCCCTATATGAATGACCCGGAGACGAGCACTGGGCCTCGGAAAAGCAACGCAAACCCTGACAGCAATGGTTTAGGGTGTAGGGTTTGGGTTTTTTGTAGGGTTTATGGTCCTGGAGTTTTCCGTCAGTGGGTTGGGGGGTTAGCCTTAGATCAGGCCGTGACTCCTTAAACAAGCCTTATCGATCCGCTAGGGGAATTTGCTAAAGGATTCGAAAAGGGAGGTTGGAAGGCCTAAACCGTCAGGTCGTGATGATGACAACCTCCTGCTTCTGCCTTTTCATCCACGGCTCAGCGGCCGTCTGGGTCTTCACACTGGATGTGGCCGGGGGCCTTACTACACATTTTGCCAATGAGGGTTTAGGGAGTTTAGGGTTGGCAGGATTCGGACGACATAGAGGTCAGCCGGGCTTCTAGAAGCCCGCAAAACCCTACCAGAAATGAAGCGTGTAATTAATATAACCCAAGTACCCTACCCTGAAACCATACCAAACCCCTTAGAAGCAACAACGTCTTGATAAAGTCGCTTGTCTTGACAACTATTTGGAGAAGATATCTACCACAATTTCGGTCTAAGGTTCGACGTTTGGCCTCAGGCATTTGGGGAAGCAGGGCGGTGTAGAGGTTGGGTTTCGGGGTTGGGGCTTCGGGTGTTGGCTTTAAAAGCTTCGGATGCTCCCAACCTTTCAGAGACACCCTAAACGCAAAAACCCAAACCAAATGCCCAACCCTAAACCCTTGCGCAGAACCGTTAACCCAAAGCCCAAGCCGACACAACCCCAAACGCAAACCCTGAACCCTTCCAAAAAAGCACTTCTTGTGAAGCCAAGCACGTTGCTGAGGCATGGGCTTTGGCGATGGTTTTCATCAACCAGTCGCTCTCTCGGATTTCGATGTATTTTCCACGTGTTGGTGGTTGCTCTAAGCCCGGATCTTCTAAGTCCTAAGGGTCTGAGCTCGTTCCAAGTCCTGAGTGTAGGCCTTAAAGTTTCAGGAAAGAGCATGGTCCTGCAGTAGACTCCCCATGAAGGCAGCAGCCCTTATCTCGATTATCTCCTGGCTGATGGAGGGAACCCTTGTGTTTGAGGGCAGCCGAAACTGGGTTCTTGTTAATTAAGGGGCTGAATTTAAGGTGCCATAATAAAGAAACCATATTTTTTACTACAGATCCCTGTTGCGGTAACTTGAGTTAAAACCCTTAACAAGACCCCAGTGAAGCCCTGAAGCCCTAAACCGCAGCAGACATCTTGAGAGAAGGAGGGCAGCAGGCAACTTTGGACGGGCTTCGTGGTAATCCGTGGGGCAAAGTTCTTTCGACTGAAGATCCTTTACGGGAAACTTTAGCTTTGATGGTGTGCAATTTGGAAGCCTGAAGAATTAGTAGTTTTTAGTACTCCTTACTCCTTCCCCAGGATTCGTCCTTCTAAGTCGAGTTTATAACATAGTTTCCCACAGGACATACAACATATATAAGGTCAGGGTACAAGCTGTACTGCTAGCATCTGGCGCAGAAGTAGTAGCAGCCTGTGGCTGAAGAGCAGCCGCTGGGACGATGTACGAAATATAGTCGAAGAACCAAAATACCCTCAACCCTAATTCAGAACGTACCCCAAGTCCGGTTACCAAGTCCCAATCCCTAAAGTCGCAATCCCCGCCAGGTATGTTTACTTGGCACTCAGCCGCGAGACGTACTTCTCAACAGACAGGCTCGGTAGTTGGGGCCTGCAGCGTCGAACAGGTTCTTCCTGGACGACTTGCACTTTGGGCTGTTTCAGGGGTCTTGAAAGTGTCGAGATGGGGCGTTCACCTGGGATCTACAATAGGGTTTTGCAGAGGACCTGCAATTTAGGTTGCGCATTTGTGCGTTTTCGTAGGATTTTTGCATGGATGATGAACTGTTGGAGTGCAGGGGTAGAGCTTTGGGATGGGATGACGTGGGTTTGGTAAGCACAGCTGTAAGCTCTAGTTCGAAAAAATAAAAGTGCACACACGGTTTTTAGAAGCTGTGCTTGCCTCAGGAACGACTGCGCGAGAAGTCATAAGCAAAGCAGAACCCAGTGGTGACAATCGCAAGATTGGTGGGGGGATAGAGTCTTGGGTGTAGAGGTCATAATAACGACCGTTCTGACGTGCTTTAAGGCTGTCTGCAAGTTAGGCCCACCCATTGTACCGAAAGCCCTAAACCGTTATAGAGCACTTGTAGCATGCTTTACCTAAGCCTTGTAAACCTTTATCCCAATACACGCTAGACCCTAACACCCTGAATCCCGAAGACCACAGTAGCCCAGACGCGTTCCACAGGTTGGATGCCGTTGCGTCCCGTGCACAAGGGGTGCCAATCGCTATGCAACTTGGCATTCTGTTTGCCGAAACTTTTGTCCCAACCCTGCTAGTGATAGGTTAGGTTGAATAGGTGGGCCAACTGCGGGATTTTGGGGGTTGCAACCCAGTTCTAGCTTGAATTCATAACCCAAGTTGGTTGCATGACTTGAGTACTTACACTGGGGTTGTAGGTGCAGTAACTACGAGTTTACAGGTACCTGGAACTGCCCACACCGGTGCCACGAGTAACATCGCATTAGGGTCCCTTGTCTTCGCTTAGGTAGAGGCCTGCACTCCATTAAGAGCGTAGTTGTGTTTTGCAACATCGTGAAACTCCCACAACGGGCTTCTCTCACCGTTCGCTAACCTAGGGAAAAGAAGGCGTTGACTCGGAGGACCTGCCTCCAGTGTTACTTGCCCTAGTACATTGTTCCTGGCACTAGTACAAGCGACTACAAGTGTACAGTCTGTTTCAGCCTTGGGGTCCCTGAAGCCCAAATTAATTCCCTGAAGCCTTAATTAGTTCCCCTAAAGGTCGGACTCGTAACTCGTAGAGATGGCTTGAAATAGAGACTTGTCCATGGACGGAGTCGTGCTAACTCGGCGACCACGCATTGCGCCACTCTCGGGCAAGATTCGTTTACAAATCGTGAAGGCTGTCGACATGAGTGGCTCCTGTGTCTACAGCAGCAAGTTCTGAAGCCCGAATCTAGCGCAAAGCCAAGCCCCAAACTGTAAGCTCTACACTATCCATCTTACGTCCTCAATGCCAAACACCCAAAACCTACTGGTCGTCCTGAGTCCCGGAAGATTCTCCCGACAGCTTTTGAAGTTGGATTTCTAGCTCGGGTGCTGAGGCTTGGCGTTTGCATTCTGCACTGGGCGTGCCTTGGGCTCCTGTTGGCATAGTAATAGAGCTGAAGAGACCAAAATAGGAACGATAAGAATGCAACATCTCTGAGCACCGAGTTGTACCAGGCTGCCAGGTTTAGAGATTTGGAGATGTCGGGTTTGGCAGTTCAAGGGTCGCAGTGTTCCAGCCTTGTAACAGCCAGAAGGTGTGAGCTTCGTGATTTAAGGTTTGTATATGCGCATTCTACAGGGCTTCGCATGTCTTGTATGTCGGCAACCAGTTCCCTCATTTCCTCATGATAGGTGCATTTCTAATCCCGCGTCGCGCCCAAAATGCTGCGATTGTGAGTAGCAGAAATCACCCAAGCTGAAGTCGCTTATCCTGAACCCTACTGCAAGCAATGCAAAACGCCGCGGGGCATCAACTGGAAGACATCATTGCCAGTTTTCGTTTCCCAGCAATCAGCAGCCGGAAGCATTTGGCCTGAAGACGCTTAGCCCGAAAAGCCTTAAGCTCGAAGCTGAAAAATGCTTCATAAAGCTTCAGCCGAAGATCTTGAAAACCGGAGCGCCAGAAGTTACGTACCCTAAACCCTCAACTTTCAGGAAGCCTCAGACAAAAAGCCGACCCTGGAAGTACGCAGCTTCGAGGCAACGTGCTGGAGACCCTCACGTTTTCCGCTTCTGCGTCTTCCTCGTGATAGTTGCCTTCGGCTGAGCAAAGGGTTTTTGGATCGAAAACTTTTGGGTAGTTCCAGTCATCTTGGAGTCGGAATAGATAGCAGCGGTATTCTGACAAGACCAATACAGGCCCCCCCCAACCCTAGCCTAAATACTTAGGCCTCAGGAGTAGGAATTACAGGGTGTGGCGACGTGAAGTTCCAACGAGTGTACTAGCCAAGGTCAGTCTACACGGAATTGCACAACAAATATCATCCATAAAGGAAGATGTAAGAGAAGATCGAACGTTCATGGGTCCTAGTAGATGGATTGAACGAGCATTTTGTCATCATTGGGGGCTGTTGAGGCCAGGGCGTATACGGCTCTGTGGTTCATGCCTCGTACGGACCAGGAAAGCCCTGCACGGAGCCGCTTCTAATCATGGGCCATGGGGCCTTGATTGTACGGACATGAACCTTAAATCTGCAACACCGAAAACTTACCGAACTTACCGACCTACATGTGGGCTTAGGGCATTAGTGAGGTCAGAAGCATGTCTTTCAGGCTTTTGTCTACAGTCTGCAGAGTGCGTTTACGGCTTTCGGGCTCTTCGGGTTTGGATGTGTGCTGTTTGGGCCCCAGTTCGAGGTACCACTTCTCACTTTTCGACCTTCCAATGTCCCTGACCACAGCTAGTCTGATCAGCAGGTGGGATGCAGGCTTTAGATTCTCCGAGCCCGGGATCGTTTGGCTACTTTCCTGTGCTCAGGGCTCCGTGATTTTCACGGTTTCCTTGGAGAGGGAGACGAGACTTGGCTGCAGTGGGGAGCCGGTGCACCTGCAAGACGGGGCAAAGAGCCCAAGCTCTAAATTTAGGTGTTTTGGGATCTTTCTGAGAAGTGTGACGTTCTTTGCAGGATCCACCGCCTACCTTGAACACGAGACTCAAATTCTACATAGTGGACACCTACCTGCAGAGTCCAGAAATCAGCTTAAGGCATTCAGTCCCCAGTTCTCCTTGAAGCACAGCGGTGGCGACGCTGATAGGATGGACCATATCGGCGAGCCGTGCGACTAAATGAGTTCCGTGACAAAGTTTGGGGCTCCGGGTTTGGAGAATCCACAATCGGAGGTGTCATATGGGGGCCCTAAGAATTAGAATAGGGTTTTGGGGCCCATTATACTATAATTGGAATAAAAAACCCCAAAATAGTATTGGTACTTATTTAGGCCCTACATGAGACAAACAGCCATTCAAAGGTCTCGGTCCTGCATTCCCTGGGACTTGCTAGCTTTCCAGAAAGAAGCACCGCGAGATGCACCAGCACAACTCAACAGGGTTCTTTGGAAGCCAGAATCGGCAGTAAGCGATTATGGTGAGCCGGTCAGGTTAAAGGTTTCAGAAGTTTATTGACGCTACACGCAAGTTTTCAAGGCGATTGCCGTACTGCTGGCATTGAAACATCCCGAATCCCAAGCCTTGCGAACAAACCGAGGAGTCCCGGCGCTGCTACACGGGCCTACATACCCTATACCCAACCGTTACACAGTTTAGTAGCATCTACCCCGAAACCCCACCCTATTCTAGTCAGTGTAAGGTCACCGAATTGCTAGTCTACTTTCCTGAAGCCCTATTCTACTCACTATGGCCATCGAATTACAGCTTCAGCATTGGACCTGAAATGTCGCCGGACTCGCAGGGCTTCGGCTCACGACTTCGCCATCAAATCTTAGCATGCTTACTCCTCGAAGAATTTCAAGCAAAACAAAGCAAGAAGCCAGACCGGACTCCCCGAATCCAAGCCTAAACCCTAATCTCTGCAAAGACTTCACAGAGCCCAGGAGGGTCTGCGAAAGAGAAAATAGCCGCGACCATGCCGCCAGCTGAGAGTTCCGAAGTGCTGAGATGTAGGACTTAGTGCTAGGTTGAGAATTTGGCAGGAGTCTGCAGGGGCTGGTATTATACGCCTTCATTCCGGATTGGGGCGTGGATTGCACAGACCTTCTTTGCTGTGATTTACAGAAGAGTAGTATATTACTGAATTAAGGCGGCTTTGAATCTTTGAAGCACTATACGTGGATGTTCAAAGTTGAGCGGGCCTGCAGCAAGCAAGCCGCCGGTGGACCTCCATGTCTCTCTAACGAGTTCAACCGGCATAAAGAAGGCCGAAAGCCTAATCCTACGAGCCCAAGTGGTCATGACCGGGGAGGGCGACAGGGACTCAGGGTGCTAGTGCTAGTTTTCTTGGGAGAAGAGCATTGTATCTTCGGGACCCGTTCGCAGTGGGGTTAGGGTTTTAACGTTGGCTGAGGAGGTCCCAGTCGACGTGGTAAGCCCCTTGTGATCGGAAATTTATACATACATAGGTAAGCATATACACCAAAGAAACAGCCACGTAGGTGTGCATGGTGTAGTTAAAGGTAGTTATGTATGTGTGTGTATGTATGTATGCATGTATGCATGTACGCATGTATGCACGCATGTATGTATGTATGTATGTATGTATGTATGTACGTGAAAACATAAACATGTATCCAGCCATATATGTACGTCCCCCTGTATGTCCCGCGATAAATCTGCGTGTCCCGCATGCCCAGCATTGTCATGGCCTGCAACGTAAACCCTAAACCCTAAAACCCTAAACCCAAAACCCCTAAACCCCCAAAGCCTAAAACCCTAAAAGCCTAAAACCCTAAAAGCCTAAAGCCCTAATACCCTAAACTCTAAGCCCTAAAACCCTAAACCCTAAACGAACTGGAGGTCTGGTACGAAGGGAGGACCTACCAGGAGGCCCTGGTAAGGGAAGTTTTTGGTCTTATGGCTCCGGGAGGATGCCAAAGTTAGCTCCCCGAAGTTGCGGCCCAATACTACGAAGGAGCTCCCTCAAGGGCTCTACTTTTTGGATCCTCAGTAGGGTTTGTCATTATGGTGGTAAACATGTACCCCCAAGCTTTGTTGTAGTTGTTGGGGCTCCTGCACCCCCAAAATCCTTAAGCTTCTAATCAACCTTTATTCTAGTTATGACGGCTTCTACATTATGTTGTGTGTCATCTTCGAAAATCGTGGGAGTTCCTTATTATAAATATAGTATAGTGGGCTCCGAAACCGTGCATGGTGTCCGTGGTTTCTGCAAAGTTTTGTAGGATACAAGCTGGCCATACGAACAGGAGTTTCCTAGAGGATCCTCAGGTGTGGCCCGGTATTTCTGTTAAGACCCCTTGAAGCCCCCTACTGGATCAGGGTGGAGGGGTTTGGGTTCCAGCATGTGGGTTTAGGGTTTGGATTAGGGATCAGGTTTGGTTTTTTGCTGAGGGTTTGGTGTTGAACTTCTTGGTTTCGGACCACAACAGCTCGACCCTACATCGCCTGAATATGCTAGCTGGGTATGCCCCGACCCTTCCACGGACTGCAAGAGTGAGATGGGCCTTCTTTAGCACTTTCCGCTTTTGCCATCCGCGAAGGCTCTGAATCATGCAGAGTCCTTGCAAAACCTACAATGCCTTTCTTCTCCCCAAACCCTGCACCGACTAGACATGGCAGTGTCAGAACATGTGTGGCCTAAGCATACACCCTAAATTTCCTAAATAGTACTGTCCTCGGTGCACGGGCCCTAAAACAAGGGACGCCACAAACAAGAAAGGCAGCCCCAAGAACCAAACCAGCAGAACCGTTCCAGAGCCCTTAGACGAGCCCTCAAAAGGGCCTAGACGGCCAATCTTCCACAGCCCCAGCAAGGCTGAGAGGGCGATTGCCTTCAACTGGTGGAACGTGAACCCAGCCGCCGCCTCTAAATGCGACTGTCGAGTACAACCAGGGCGTAAGTTTTCAGTGTATGCAACGTATCGTGGATTCAGGGAGGTTCATAGGTATAGGGGTTCAGAAGTGCGGTTTCTCAAAAGTGGAGCTGTAAATGATTTGGAACTGGAACTTGCAAGCTTTGGTAGTCTCTAGCAATGGGCTGTAGGACTACAGGGTTGAGGGTTCGGAGGCGTAGGGCTCGGATTGTGTTGGAAAAGGCTTCCTTTGCTAGCCCCGATTTTGATGAGCCGGCTTGTGGCAGCTTCCGCCATGCTGTGAGCCATAACTTCACGATTTGGCATTTCCTATGATCTTCCTTCGAACGCAAGGCTAGGTTCATCTACGGCTATACTGCATTGTGCTGAGAACACCCTAAATGTTAGAGGCTTATGCCGAATTGCGCCAGCCTCGGTTACTGTTTGAAGAATTTTGAAGCTCGGCGTTAAACAAAGATTAGTTAGTTTAGATGGACTGGCTTGTTTCGCCGTCAAAACAAGGTTTAAGGGAATTGCAGGACATTGGGACCTAACGGCAGGGAAGATGAAGAAATATCTGGAGAATCCCCGCAGGCCCCTGCCCAGCATTCCCAGGCCTTCAGGCCTTGGTTCCAGAGGCTTCAAACAAGTTGGGATCGTTAAATCGGTTTAGGTTTAGGATTTCAGGGTTTAGGGGTCTAGGGTTTAGGGGTTTAGGGTTTTATCGTTTAGGTCCCTCAAAGTCTGTCGGCGCCACATGGCGAGCGGCGGTCGTCTTCAATGCTTCTCAGTGGTTCTCATCTGATCCTGACGCCCCGAGATGTGTGATGCGTCAGTGGTATATCCTGCGACAGTTACCCAACCAGCATGTCCATGCTACAAATGGTAACCTTTCCGTCCCCAATGCATTGGGTACAGCACCCAGCGACGTAGACGAGCACTACCAGGGACGCCTTGATCGTGCACACTTCAAAGCGTGGTTTCAGGAACAGTGCCATGCGGACGCCAAAGCCAAGGCCTTTCATGAACGGAGTGCCATCAAGAACGGACGGAATTTGGCCAATTTCCTCAAATTCCTGGGAGGAAGGGATGCAGGTTGCCTTGTGCAACCCGGACGTGGCAGAAGCAAGCAGCAACAGCGGCCAAGAACGGCTTTCGATAAGTTGCATCTGCTGCCAGAATAGCGGGACGCAGGAGGGGATGACTCTGCTCGCTCCACTCTGCTCCCCTGTGCTTCCTTAGGCAATGGAGCTGCTGGCCTGGCACTGGTACGTCGGGAAGACTATTGCAAGGCCATCAAGACTCAGTGAGACAAACCTCTGGCCATAAATGCCCCTGGAGCTGCGCATGACATGCTCTGATTTTGCCCAGCCGACGACCCTTACCCAGAAGGATGGGAGAGTTAGCTTCGCTGCACCAGTGCCCGGGGCACCAACGGCACCGGCCCGGCCAACCCTATAAGCCTTAAGCCTTAAGCCCTGAACCCTAAAGCCTATAACCCTTACGCCTTAAACCCAAACCCCTAAACCCTGTAACCCTTAAGCCTTAAACCCTGAACCTCAATAGCCGTAGACCTTAAACCTGAGTATGATCAAACCCACCGTCCCGAACGTGAAGCCTGTAAAGACCCTAAACCCCTAAAGCCCCAAAGCCCTAACGCCCTAAACCCGAAGCCCTAAAACCTTAAAACCCTAAACCCTAAACACTAAACCCCTAAAGCACCAAAGCCCTAAAGCCCGAAAGCCTAAACTCTGAGCCCTAAAGCCCTAAAACCCTAAACCCCGAAAGCCCCAAAAGCCCCAAAGCCTAAACCCTGAGCCCTAAAGCCCTGAAGCCCTAAAGCCCGA